GGGGCTCTTGGGACTCCAGGCCGCCGCCGCGCCGGGTGCCGCTCGCGCTTGAGCCGAGCGCGTGGGGCGGCGCCGGCTGCGGGGCGGCCCGGAGGGGCTGTGCGGGGCGGCCGCCTGGAGAACGGGGCCGGCGTTACGAGGAGAGAGAACTGCCCTCCCCTGTAGTGAGGGGACAAAAAAAAGAATGTTCCTGGGCTGTATGAAAGCTCCATTTACAGGAGCTATCGTGAGGAAAGTTACCGTTAATTGATACTAAAGAACAGTAAGAGGAGGTGAGGACACCTTGTTTGATGTTTGGTTCTGGTTTTGGCAACTTGTGTAGCCTCACAGGAAAACGTGATGAGGTTTCTGTCACGTTATTTGTAATAACCGCAGAGTACTTAGCGTTGAGAACGAAAGCTTTTAAATATGCCTATCCTTTCCAGTCTCAAGAAGTGTGAAGAGGGCTGGGTCCTGAAAAGTGGAAGGGATGGTAAACTCTGAAGGGGAAAAAATACTTTGTATGCAGTGTCACGATATAAGGAAAACTCAATTTTTTTTATACTAGGCAAATACAGTGCTCTTGCAGTTGTGCTAGCAAGAATGATGGAGGCTGCAAAGCTCTATTTCTTAGTCTATGGGAGCTTTAGCTGACTGAGGACTGCAAGATTCACTTTGTGCTGTATTGCTTCTTGAAAGTGTGTGTCTCTTACTGAGCAAGCAAGCTTAATCAGAATGTAGAGGTAAATTAAGATGTACCAAAACTATTTTTGAATGGAAAAAACAGTCATCATAATATTTTAGATTAGATCTACTGCCTTGCAAGCTAATAGAAATCCCTGTTTAAAGGGAACAATAGCTCTAGCTGAGGTGGGAGGGGAGAAAACCATTCTGATCTTCTGTTGAACTGGCTACATACAAAACTATTACATAATGTTCGTATGCTTCTACTGATACATATTATTCCATAAACTTTCTGATTCAAGGCTCTTCCATGCAAAATGTGCCCTAACTTGGAACTGATTTTCAAATACACTCAGTAAGATTTGGAGGTGTTGGAGGTAAAAAAAATGTTTTTTGAAAAACAGTGGAGCAAAGTCCAGCTAGTGCTTGGAAAGACAGCTGGCCTTCGAATGGATAATTAGCACAGCCAGTCCTACTATTAAGTAGGATCATATGAGAACAGTATGACCTAGAGCAAAGTGTTTTTACCTGTTTGATGTAGTAGAGCTAACTGGTTTTGACAGCAAAAAGGCTTAAGTTTAAGCAGAGTACCTGCAGGATTACTTCAGTCTTCCTGGGTAACTGACATGATTAGTGAGAATTTTGGTTTTGAGCCCAGTATTCCATTACCTAATGAGAGTAAGACTGCCAGTAACTCTTGGGCATGTGCCTACTGCGCGGAAACTGCTATCTTACTGTTTGGGTTGGTGAGAAACTTTTCAGTGTTTGACTTCTGCCTGGTGCTGTAATTATGTTGAGACTTGATTGTGGAACAGAGAATGCATGTTACTCTAAAACAAGGAAGATTCCTTTTTAAAGTAAAAACAATGCTGAATTACAGGTTTAGTAGTAAAATACTTTATTTTTGGCTGTAGAAACCTGCAGACATGATCAGCTGTGGGCATAGAGCTTTGAGCAACAGTTGTTTAGCAAGTATCTGCAGATAAGGCCTTCACTTTCTTCCTGGAGGCAAGTATTTTCATTAGAATTTTGCTTACAGTTCAAGTTGTATTTATCTTAATTGCTTCTTCCTTACTAATGATTTAAATATCTCACATTATAGTCTCTTTCAGTACATAGCAGTGATTTCTATGTCCAACAGCACAGAACGATGTCTCCTTTTTTAAAAAAAAAACAAAAAACAAAAAACAAACTTGGGAGCCTTCATTCTCTTAATTTTTCTTTTTGTTCCTGATTAGCTGGTTGCCTTGTTCAATTACTTCCTTCCTTTGTAATCATAAGAAAGAGAGTATCTACAGTACCTCTGCTGGAAGCTGTTTGCCCAGGAATTCCCTGTTTTGGCTTGAAGTTAATTGGAGTTGTGGAAGGGGAAATCCTGTTACTGCAAAACAGTGATTGCTGCATGGAATCAAAAGATCTATTTAATTTATGATAACAAGCTGCTTTTGCAGCAGCACCTTAGCCACCTGAGGTTTAAGTAAGCATTAGAAATGCTGAGGGTACTTACTTCTGGCTTGCTCTAGCAGGATGGATTAGATGACCTTTCAAGACCTTGTGTGGATAATATATAAGGATGACTTACTGGTTTGCCCTCTACTTCTCCAAGCTATGCTAAAAGAGAAGAGGAAAAATCTATAGATATTCAGGAGTTGAGACTTCCTTTCCACTGCTCCCAAAAAGTGGGAGGCAAAGGAAAGAAATCCAAATTTAGAAAACAGGCACTGAATCCCACTGACACTATGGAGAAATAACTTGGTTCTGTTTGCCGTAGGAAGAAGTATTTTTCACTTGGCAAAAGAAGATGGTATTATACAAAAGATCAGAAGGAAATATGTTTTGATGCAGAAACTATAATTATAAAATC